TCAGAACTTTGTAGGCAACGTAGCACAAGGCAAACGTATGTAACCTCCTGGCAGGGGATAATCAACCAAGGATCTCCTTCTGAGTCTGCTGGGCAAAACCTGGCATCCCTTCCCCTGGCGCCAACAGGTCTGTGCTCTTGCTCACATTCTCCCACTTAGGTAACAACTGGAGAAATGGGCCTGGTTAAACCTTTGCTGCAGATTTCCCTGCCTGACTGACACTGCCTGATACTGTGGTTGACAGGACAGTTCTGCATCCCATTCCCTTTTTTTATTCCAGCTCCCAACCTCTGGCTTTGGAGTTTGACTCCTGACGCTGAACATGGCTCTTGATTTCTTGTTTCAGTTTGTCCGGACACTCGCAGTAAGTGCCTTGTTACAGTGATCAACTGAACAGGCAACTAAGCAAATAATGGTCAGTGCAGAGTACAGAAGATAACTGAGAAAGTTGAGGGAGACCAATATTATGGCCACTAGTAGAGCAGAAAGAAGAGATTAACTTAACAATCACCATGAGCAATAATGGACAAGAACTGACTTTTTGCCAGCACAGGGAGAGGATCTGGACAACACTAGGAAACGGGTCACTGCAGCTGTGTCTGGTTTGGTTTGGAGAATGCGAGAGTGAAGGAAGTCAAGAGGAGAAAATTGCAGCAATCAGAAGACAGTTAGAGCCACATCGTTGTACTTCGATATCATGGAAGGAGCGAGAAATCCAGATTTCAGAGGTGTTGGGTTGCATCACAAGAAAGATTATGGGATTATCAAGGGGGAACAAGGGAACATAATGAGAATTTTGGGGAAAGTCATTAAGCACACATGCTTTCTGCTAAGTTCCGTTCAAAACTTTATAGAATCTCTACTTCCCCTGAACTACTTTGTGTTTATCTTAGAGAAACAGGGGGGAAAAGATCAAGTAGACAGAATATGACCTAAAGTCGAAGAAAAGAAGAAAGAAAAAGGAACAGATGCCCTAGAACTTTCTCAGTCAGCATACACCTATTGCATTCACTGCTTGCTCTGAGTAGATGATTCCTGTGTATTCAGGATAGGGCTTACTACCTGTAAGTTTTTCCTCTCCTAACACCCATCATCTTCATTTCTTTGCCCACACAGCACTTAGGTCCTTCCACCCTACCATGGTATCTGAGGTAATCAACTCCCAGCCTTCTCAGCTAGGACCCTCAGAAACCCTGTCCCCTCCCAAAATGTCTTTTCCCACTCCTCCTCACTATCTTCTGCATAAATGCATGAAAGCAAAGCTATTCTTCCTGTACAGGGATAGCCATATTGTTCACTTTGAACACTCTTCCACTTAGGAAGGCAGTCCTACACAGGCTTCACATTCAGGATCCTCATGTCTCTTTTCCATGTATATTTTTAGGAAACCTGACTTCTGATACAACTGACCTATTTCTCAGCTATGTCTTTGGATTGCATCTGGGATGTGTCAGCACTGCTAGAAGCACTTCAGCAAAGTCCAGAAGGAGGAAATAAATTGCACTGGAGACAGGGGAGAACTATCTGCACCACATGTAATACATATTAACATGTGTATTATGCATGGCTATATTTTTTTATATATATATATAATGCACAGCTAACATTTTCCACTTCCCTCTCTCTAATATTGAAAATGTCTCTAACACATCTAACACAGTTCTGGTCTAGTCTCTTCACCTGCCTTATATTTGATAGCATATGGAATAAGCAATGGTCAGCCTTTTTTCCCCTGGCTGGGGGATGCAGCAGGCAGTGTGATACTTGGTATGTCTGCAATGTTTAACTGTCCTCCCTTCGCGCTCTTTTTAACCCTCCCCAGCTGCAACCAAGCCAGTGGGGGAGGGAAACCCTCACAGTCAAACCCAGAAAGCACTTAGCGAAAACAAATAAGGTTGCTAAGGAACCATACAGATAAACTCAAACCCACAAAATCCAGGAAATAGAAAGGAGCTCATATGCTCTTTTCAAACACACACCACTCATTGCTCTCAGTCTGTCACATTAGACTAGCACAGAGCTAAGGCTGTGATTATGTGCGCCCAGGACTGATTCCCAAAAACATGGGAAACCCAAGAACATAGCACATCGTGCCACCCAACAGTATCTACCTCTCTTCCTACTTTTTTTAATTACACCACACATAAAAAGAGCCAAATAAACTTATAGCGCAGGTAGACTATAAATTCTATGTATATCATTAGTTACCTATAATGACAGAAGCCTAGTTAACAGTAGCAATGAAGATGCCCGCAGCACAGCTGGCAACATCAGCATACAAACCGAGGGTCCACAGAAGGCACAAATCGTATCCTCCCTGCCCTTGCCATCCCACCAGCTAGACTAAAGACAGCACAGGCTCGACTGCTGATTTGCAACTCCACGTCCATTTTACCGCACGGGCACAGCCTCGGGAGCCACGCTTTGCCCACAGGGATTTTCTTGAAACCAAATTTATTACTATGCTCAACCCATAAATAAAGTTATCTCCAGTGCGTTGGGAGGTATCAAGATGAAAGCCCAAGGAAAGGGGTGAAAGTGCCAGTTATGCCTTGCCCGTGCCACGCAGACCCTGGGGCTGTGTTTATGTGTTTTCAGAGCCCGGTGAACTCTGGAAGCAAGGGGCAACTGAGGCAAGCCAAGCCCCTTTCATCAGCTGCCCTTTAAGCACCGCATGTTCCGTTCCCCATGCACACAGCTACATCGCAGCACCTGACGAATTCCCTCACACTTTAAAAGACTCTGGGAAATAAGAACGTGCCCCTAGAAAGGTTATATTTAGCCCTCCTATCTCCATTCACCTTGAGTTAAATCAGATACTCAGAATGTAGCAATTGCCTACTGCGCAGAGGTGCAGTTGTACATGCCATACATCTGAAATCACATTAGCCACCAGTCTTGTGGCTTAATCATGGCCTCACAGCAAGGCTGAATCTTTTCTGAAAGAAACAGGGCGAACTCTGTTGCTCATCTGGCTTCATCCTATCTCGCCATATGGAGATCAGAGTGGTTCATTTCTGCCATGAGAACAAAACAAGAGAGCATTTCCGCGTCCCACTCAGAGTTTGTACCAAAATGGCACCACCTGGAGTACTACAAAGTATTTATTAGAAATGGAGCAAATTTTAATGCTTGCTAACAACATAACTTTAAAGTGACTAGCATGAAAAAGCATAGCCTAAATATCCTTACACTATATCCAGGTGAATTTCTCCTTGCCTCACATTTCCAATGCATTTTGTCCACCATCTGGCTGTATTTCACAAGGACAAACAGTAAGAATAAAAGGGTATTCACACAAACAGCCCCAGGTGTGGGACATGAGGCACATCAGGTTCCACTTCAAGTCAGCAGAGACAAAAGAGCCTGCAAAGGGTGAATAAACACACCAGGGTTTTCCCCATTGACCAATTTCCTGTGTCCAGGACTTCGCATCCCTCTGAAGCCGCGCTAACCACAGCGGCTAAAAACTCGGTTGTCAGAGGGTGTAGTAGCCCTCACCTGTCCCAGCTTCCTCTTCATACAAGGAGCAAACCCAGCAGCAGCATTAAACAAAACCAGTGCCGGGATGCAACAGCTTAGCTCCGAGGCCTACTACCAAATAACTGACTCACTTTTAGCATTAAGATATAACAGGGTGTTAGATGGTCTCCATTACTTTTGTGAAATTCAGTTTTTAAACACCAAATTAAGCACCAAAATTAGCTTCCAAATTAGGAAAATAAGATTCCCAGCCTTTTACGACCGTAAGTTTGTAAAAGACAGCATGCCCATTAGTACAATTCTTCTACAGCTATTACCAAACGTGGCTTTCAGTCACAAGCGTGATGATTTGTATTTCCCCACTGTATCTTTCTGAAATACAAATCTGAAGTAGCTTATGGAATTATCAATTTCTCAAACACATGGTTATAGATAGGAGAAAAGGATTTAGAGAGCGCCAATTTATTTTGTGTAATGATTAAAAAAAAAAAAAAATCAGCTAATACATTGACAATAAATATGTCTGTGCCCTCAGAAAGATCCCAAATTTTTAAAGCTCTTTCTTTTTTCACACTACAGGTTTTATCAAACCAGCACAGCAAGAATACCGTGTGTGGCATTTGTACAGCCTCAGTTACGGCTCAGCTCCTCACAGAGCAAAGCTGTTCAACTGCTTCCACCCAGGATGCAGAAGACAAGTAAAAATAACAAACCACCTATTTCTAATGTGACACTGCAGCTGATTACACTGAGAAAACTAACAAGACAAAATATTAAAAACGTAACCAGGATGAGTAAGCTTGCTTTTTGATGATAAATTGTGTACACTTTTATCATAATTATGCTAAAGGGCAGAGTAATAGCTTCCAAAGAGACAAGGAAAAGAAACAAAAGCAAGGTTTTTCAATGTGTTCCAAAACATAGAACACCACACCAAAGTCTCACTAAGCTCTTAAACTCTCATGGCCTTTACCCAAGTCTTTAATTGAGTCTTCACTAACTCATGAGCACAAACTTAGGAGGAAAGCAAGGTAAGAAGACTTGTACCTTTCACGGTTGCTTCGCATACTTCCATCTGGGCACAAACCAAGCATCGATGATTGAAATTCAAACTGTAAAGGTTTCATTTAAGCCTAAAGCAAACATCAGGTACTTTGCTGCCATGGTGATGAACACAGTAAAAACATCTTAACCACTCCCAATTCTGCAAGTGTAAAGTAGGGCTTGGTGCAACAGTTAAAAATACAGTCTGGCATCAGACACATAGCATGAGTTTCTCCTTTAGAAAATGGTTTATAGTTTATTGAGTTGTGAAAAAACTGAAATATGTAAACAATAAATGAACAGAGAAGTTGTGTTGTATATGTTATGCACATATGCTACTCTGGTCCTGCGCAGAATTTATAAGATGAGTTGATTGATCAAGGCTTCCCAACATGATAGCCATAAAACTATTGGGAAATGGGTCACCTGCTTGACTAGCATGTTTGCTAACACCAAGAGAATAAATACTCAGCTTTGGAAAACTAAGCAAGTTATATCACATTTTTTATTTTAAATAACCGAGTTCCATGTTAAAGCTCAACACCCCCATGTTCCCTTTAAAATGACAAAACATTAAAAAGATTTTTTTTATAAAAGTAAAACTAACAGCCGCTGAATCTTTTGTGTCTGACACATTTATATTACAATATATATACTAAATTTGAAGGTACAAAAGGGTTTTCAAAGCTGTTACAGACTATCAAGCTGATTTTGACTTTTTGGGACTAACCCCACCATCTTCAGCTGACTTCTCTGCTGGCCTCTTTTTTAACCCTTTCATTTTTCGTGTCTGCAGTTTACCAAGATCTTGCTTTTGCATGTGGATTCGACCATAAGTTGTACCAAACACATCATGGGAGATATTCTTTTTCTTCTTAGGCTGCAAGGGAAGAAGAACATTAGTATTTCTGACTAGAGAGTGCCAGGAGCTCTGGTGAGAAGCCAGATACCTGGCCTTACCATCACCATGTTCACCAGTAATTAAACTACCAAATCAAGTGCCTAAAAGCAAGGCCACGTACATTGTTTGGAGCTTAGAGATTAAGATTTGGTCAAGTCTGGTTAAACCACGACATGCTCTTATATGCTACCAGAGGAGAGTTTGTATGCCAGCCGATCACTGCAAAAGTGCTATGGCCCCAGAAATATCAGTTGGCCTATATAAAAGTAAGCTTTGGTCAAACACACAATAATAAACACTTCAGCTTTTGCTCTTCTTCACATATAGATCTGGAAGTAATGTACTTTCCACGGTACAGACCTTCAGGGCTTTTGGCTGTTTTAAAGACAGCTTATAAAGGTCATCTGAAGCTAAATGTGTCCTCCTCATAACCAGATCTAATGAAGGTCCCATCTCTTCCAGTTCAATTCTTGGTATTTTACAGCCAGATTTCTTCAGAAGCACCCTAGAAGGGAAAAACAACCAAAATCAACATTTTCCTCTGTGATAAAGATTTATCTGTCTTCCTGAAGGGCAGGTTCAATCCTGTAGTTTGGAAGACTATTAAAAACAATTGCTACTGATAACTCTATTATTGAGAAAGATGTCTGTCACTAGCAATTTATAATAGATTAAATCTGTCCAATCTCAATTTGAACACACTCAAAATATAACCTGGCTAAGTAACTTTTTTTTTCTTTTTCTTTTTTTAAAAAAAATGAGACTAATATTATCAATATTACTGTTAAAACTCAGTCCCAGTACCCTGAAAGCCGTATCACTCCTCAAATTCAAAATAGTGTCCTGGGTATTAATAGACATGAAAAATATTTACTATTGTTTACAGCAAAATAATCTGAGCACTAATCAAGAAAGTTTTTTGTTTGTTTTGAAGAATGAGACTGATAAAAGTGGTTTTGTTATAAAAGAAGTCACAATCGCATGGAACACGAGCTATGAATGCTCACAGCCTGCTAAGGCAAGGCCATGAACTGTGAGGGTGAACACCAATGCAGCAACAAATGTTGTCTTGTCCTGCCTTTACCTGTTTTTCCTTGTGTATCGCCGGCTGCAGCCTACCACCCGCTGTTCTCTGACAAACACCTACATGAGGAGAGTCCTCGAAATCAGCCTGAGAACAGACTAAGTCTATGAAGTCTATGACTGTGCTCTGAATCCACCAAATTAATTCACACCACCTTACTAATCCAACCATACGAAAGAGCTTTCCCCCTGGCTAGAAGGGGGAGCTCAACACGGAAGGAAGCAGCAGGTTTAGGGCTTAAGTGTTTTCCTACAAGTTACTCTGCATTATGCTGGAACATCTCTACACATCACGTGTTTTAAATGTAGCAAACTATTGCTCAAGCCAGTTCAATTACACAACCGCGTGCTAAATTTGTGGAAAAGTTGACAAGTGTGCCAAAAAGCAAACAAATAGATAAAACACATACTCACTTATAGCTTCGCATGTAAATTTTCCCATCTACAGCTGTGAAATGCAAAACATACTCTAAACCAGCCAGACGAATACTGGGCACACTAGGACCTCTGAAGAAATCTGAAAGAATATTTAAAAAAAAAAAAAAAAAAAAAAGCCAGGTTTCTTGGCTGAAAACCAAACCAACAGATGATTAACAAATTGGCTTATTTCATAATGGACCCGTATCACATCACTGATGTGAACTCCTTGCCTATATACAAATTTTTATTGCATCTAACTAAGCAAGCTATACACGGGGTGGCTCTAGAAAAGCTGAATACATATGTTTAATGGGAATCTCACGCAATAGCCACTACTTAAAACTGCAGCCCAGCCAAAACATGGGAGAAACACTTAACGTTACAGGTGTTAGCTCCCACACTGGTGAAACCAAACGTGTAGAAATCCTGACAGGAACACAGTGACTTCCCAGAGATAATTTGGTTGCAATATACCTGCTACCTAAAAATAAGTGCATGGAGAAGAGCAAATATACTTTCAGAACACTAATTTCATTTTAAGCAGCTAATTGGGATAATTGCATTATCTATTCTTCTAAATATTCAGCTCTAAAGTCAGAAAAATCAGATGTATCTTATTTTGTGTTTAGGCCAGTTCATGCTCAGCTAAACATAGATCAATACAGAGAAGCCATTAGTTCAGATTATCTGTTTAAAGACATCATTCAACAAAGTGATACTTAAGATTCTTAATCAGAGACAGATTTGGATGAATACAAAGAAGAATCAAAACCAGTACAAAACAGACTGAAACTGTATCTTGTCTACTCTTACCTGCATTTTCTCTCAGTGACTTGGGGAAAAAGTTTAGATATGGTTTCTTTCATACCTCCCCCACAACAAAGCGCTTCTGTGTTTAGGTAAAGCTGTATTCATCATTACAATTAATGTTTTCTCTATTTAATAAGCAACACATAACTATAAAAATAAGACACTTGAAATACTCGCTTAGTTTGCAAGGAGAACACCGAAATACAGGTTAAATACAAAATGAGCCATCTCTAGCAAGGTTCATAACCAGGTTATGAAAAAAAAAAAAGTGCAATCAGAGAGCTTGTAATAAGCACAGCAATCTGTCCAAAATATGCAGAGGGTGGAGAAAGAATGTGACCTTGACTGAGGGAACAAGGTGTGCTAATAAACATGACAGGGCAATGCTGAAACACAGGAGAACTGCTAACAGATGCAAAACACATCAGTCTTTTCCGTTCTGTCCCATTTTCAGATCCCTCAGCTAGTCGTCTTTTCCTCCACTACCTTTTTCAAGAATAGACAATCAGCACCGGAGTGACATCCAAAACAAAGTCTTGCTGGCAGATATCAGCTGGAGTCTAGCCAGGAAATTTCCTTGGTCAATTAAATACTCTCTCTCCTCCTCCTGTGGGTTGAGCTTGTAGAGGAAAAGTTGCACATAAAATATTTTGTTCACTTCTGGCATATATTTTCCCTTCGACTAGTTCTCTCTGGGTACACAAGCTCACATTTACAGTGGTTTTATTGGCAACATCTCCCTTTCGTATTTTCCTGTGGCATCGTACATCTTTCTACCCACAGGACGATCTCTTCCAACAAATGCAGGTGGTCAGGAATTTCTGTTTCCTGGCAATGCTGAACAGCTGCAGAAACCTTACACTTCAGTATACCCAGAGAGTTAAAGTTTTTTTAATGTACATGTTCTAATTTACAACTCTTGCTTTGGTTGGACTAGAGACTAGCTTTCTCCTTTCTTTCCATTTCTAGTTCTTTCTCCCCGTTGTCCTCAACACGTTTCCAGAACTTCTAATTTACTTTTTCATGCAGACAGCTTTGCAGGACCTTTCCATTTCCAGATTAAATTCCTAAATTATTTTGGAACTTGAGTCTATACACTTCTTTTCCTACCAATTCGTATCCCAAAACTGGTAACATCGTAACCTATGTAGCTATGGTTAGCATTAGCGCAGTTCAAACTCTATCCCAGACATTTCCCAGCCATCCCCTTTCTTGGCCAGAAGGAATCCACAAATCTTTTGAGACACTCAAAAAAAATATCTGTGTGAGGAAGGCTGTATGAAGAACAAGCTGACGGTCAAGCTAAAATTGTAGAGGTTGTCTGGAAACCAACATTTTATTAGGTTAATGGCTGGACTTGATGATCTTAAAGGTCTTTTCCAACCTAAACAATTCTATGGTTCTGAGATTTTAGAAAGCATATAAGCAACTAACATAACGCCTAGCCATTTTTAGGATGAAATGGGTGCGCAAGAACAGAACTAGCAAGCAGGCAGTGTTGTAAGAGATGAAACATTTTATAGATACAAGCATAAAAAGTTCTTAGAATTTCATGAACTGCATTCCAAAAACTTACATCGTAAATGAATTCCTACATTACCACATCAGTAGGCAATGAAAAACAAAAGAGAAAGAATGGGATGTCTTTGTCTTCCAGGTCTCTAAAGAAAAAGGCAGCTGCCATTTATTTCTCCTAAATAACTTCTTCTACTTCACAATTTAAGTGGACTACAGGGTTTGGTTACCATGAAAACAACAATTCACCCTTGCCTTTAATTTTACAAAGAAACTGCTCTAAGATGATATTCCAAACATGCATAAACCCTTTTGATACCACAAAAGCCAATGAAAGCTTGGTTGTTCACCATCATCACTGGCAACACATTGCTTTGGCAACAAGAAACTGTTTCCCTCTGGGATCCCAACAATACTGTAACAGTAACAAAATATTTGCTGTCATTATAAAGACATTTTTCCATCTTTTTTAGCGATACAGTGGCAGCTTAAAAGCACTACCTTTTGCAGGAACAGAAAGAATCAGTTCTTCCCTATTAGTTAAGGGCAGTTTTGAGGCAGGTCAAATTATTCCCAAACAATTTTAATTGGTTAGTGATACCTTCAAGCCTTTACACTCCTTAACCTTTTCTTTTGTCTATTGTTTTGCATCAAGGTATTTCACAAAGTCAGCAGAACATTAAGACCTAGAGTACTTGGAGTACATTCAAGAACAACGATTGGGTATCGATTTTGGTACATTTGACGGCAGAGTCATTAAAGGCAAATAAATAGGAGAGGAGAAAGGACAGATGAACATCAAAAGAAATAGGACAGGAAAGACTAGTTAGTTATTTGGCAACTATCTAACGATGCATGTCTTCCATTTAAGGTGTCAAGCTCTTTGATCATGGGGTGCATGAGCACATCTGGTTGCCAGTCACCAACACTGTGCAGATGCCCAGACAAGATACACTTCAGAAAATAATGCACCTGCTTCCTGCACTGTAAATATTCGTTTGGAATGACACAAACATGCAGCATTAAAACTCTTTATCTTTGTATTCAATATTCATCCACCCTCAAAAGTTTATAAGCACAGTTACTAGCCTTTAATCTATCCCCAAGAAACAGTCAGCTGTACTGAGAGGATGCAAGTTTTATCCTCTCCTTTTCAGTCTCATTCCAGATGAAATACCTTGCTTTAAGGAATTATAATACTAAGGAAAGAAAAATCTAATTTTTAAGGTCTGTTTCTAAAGAGCAATCATTTGTCTGCTTGTCTAGGAAAAAACAGCCCAACCAATATTTATTTTATATGAAAGGAAGATCTTGCAAAGCTGTAAGATTATGAATTGGTACAACCCAAGAATGGAACTGAAAGAACAAGATTTTTCTTACCGGGCCAGTTTCAGTATTTTA